CAAGTATTATAATATTTATTAATAATTCATAAGTTACACAGCCATTCAGTGACCGCCATTGTAGTCACATGACTACCCTTGTATTCCTCAATTCCAGCTTAAAGCGCGGGGAGGGCTTGAATTCAGAGCAAGGAAAGGGTGGGGTTAATGAATAATAATTTTCTGCCTTACGTTTTTTAGAAACCTGTTAAGGCCACAAACAATCACAAATAGAGATTTTGGTAAATGTTGTCTGCCACTCTTGTTGGCAATAACTCTCCGACAAACTTTGTTAATCAATAATATTTAGAGAGTTCAACGTAGTTGGAGTCATTTCCTTCAGCTTCTTGTCAAGATTTTGCACATTATCGATGTCCAAACCCAACGTTTGTTACTGAGTGTTAATTTTCTACTCTTGCTTGTCGCCACTCTTGAAAAATTCACTCCATTTTATGGAATGTTTGGTATTAGATGTTATAAGAATCCTGCAGCCAATTTTCGACTTCATTCTTGTCTTTTGGTTTCCTAAATTTAGCCATAATTCTCGAACTTGTTCTGAGTGCACGATGAACGGTAACTGAAGGCAAAAATTATGCGACATACTGTCCGTGGAAAAGAAAACAATAACTGCTTCATTACCTATCTATGGTTACATAACCCCATTGTAGAACAGATTCGATGTAACAATGTCTTTTGTAATACGTTTAACGAACTGTGCATATTTCTATTAATACCAAGTTAGCTATTGCTAATAAACAGATCGGCTGCTCATATTTTACATATTACATAAAACTACTCGTGTCATAAGACGCTTTCACATCATTTGTTTTACATGCCGAGAAGCCAAGAGGCCTTCTTCAGGATCCACACCCATACCAGCGACAATGGTGGCGCAAATTCTTAGTGGCAAGTTTGTGGACCCCATCTGATCCTCAAAGTGCAATCATCGCAAGGTTGAGGATATTATTACCCAGATCGAAACCTTTTCTGTACATATGCTCATGCTCTGGTTAATTTCTTCCCTCATCGGTGGAGAGACCTAACGCTCTACAAGATGCTTATTCTTCGCACCTATCGGCAATTTGGAGGAAACATGTGTCTTTCATAARACTTCTCAGAAAAGGATTATGGTCCAGATATGAATTTTAATTCATCTGAGCTTCACCGTCAGAGACAACATCTAAGTAGTACTGTAAATGGACACTTTATTTCACCAATGATCATAGTTATTGATTCTATTCTTATTGCTGATGAATTGATAGACTTTAAAACATTAAACAAAGAAATTTCAATTAACTTTGCAATGAAATTCTCTGGAAAATCTTCAAAACACTGCCTGACGATAATTGAAGAGCTTCAGTTACTAAAAGTGACAGATACGTTTTGTTTATATTATTGCACTATAAATAACTCTTCGAAAAATACTATTAAAATACTCAAGCAAAACAATTTAAAATACATTTTAGGTCTTTTTTGCTTTTATTAGCTCTCAATATTGCTTAAGTACGAGGCAGAGCGGTAAAAAGGAGAGCCTGCTATAACAAGCAGCTAAATCTTATACCGCCTACTAGAAGTCATTGAACCAGAGATAGTTCGTTACTTGTCAATTTCATGTTGTGTTTGTCACCAGCTTTATTTATAGTTTGAGCGTTAATGTTTACTACTCACACAAAATCTGCTACCAGAAAACCAAACAACTTTGTATAAAATTTGTAAGATCTGTCAGGTACAGGTAAATCAAAGCGCCTTTCGAAAAGCATCTTTCTAGTATTAAGAAACTTCAGCTGACAGATATTTTAAGTAGGTGTCAAGCTGCTGACCGCGACCTGTGGAGTGCCATTGTCCATCGACGGTCACAGTAAAAGCTCGGCAATAAAAGGCCAAATTGGCATACTGCCAAACGGAAAACAGCAAAATAAAAGAGTTATTTTCCAAAAACAGTCAAAAAACGACCGAATAGGCCACGGTCACGTAAAGTAGACTGTCATTCATCGTACGATAAATGGTTGTTTCGAATCGCAAATCGAGCTGGGCTGCCTGTGTAATCTCATTGTCTAATGTCATCGTATGTCAAAACTACCAACAACATCAAGATCCAACCTCGTTTCCCAGGGCTA